AAACTTTCACAAGTTGGCTAGGGCTTTGAGATAATTGAAAATAAGGGAAGAGGTTAAGCATAGGGAAACCATCAAGCAGGTAGAGCCTTTAAATATGGCTCACAACCCCTCAATTAGGGTTTGGATCATATGCTTGTATGCCTAATGTAGATATCTCTACACCCATCATAAATCCCTCAATGGAATCTTTCACCTACGCCCAACGTAGGGCACCCAAAATGTACAAATGAAAAAAAATTAATTATTAAGAATCATACCTAAGGATACGAATGCTACAACTCTCCCTCAATTGAATCAAACTTCATCCTCCAAGTGGGTTGCTATAAAACGCTCTTGGTAATGCTTTCACATCTCCTCCTCGAGCCCCCATGTCCATTCCAAACCCTTCCAGTGCTGCCATTGCACCTTAATCAAACCTACAACCTTCTTGCGCAAGGTCTTCGTCTTCCTATCAAGTATCATGATCGGTCTCTCTATATAGTTCAGGCGTTCATCAACCTGAATATCATCCAGGGAAACCGCTACGAAGTCATCATCTAGACACTTCCACAACTGAGACACGTGGAACGTGTTATAGATCTAGCTAAGTTGTTCAAGAAGATCCAACCGATACACAACCTTGCCCACATGGCGATAATCCTGAATAGATCAATATACAAGGGCCCCTACTTTCCTCGGTTTCGGAATCGGATGACACCTTTCCAGGGTGACACCTTCAGAAGCACAAAGTCTGCAACGTTGAACTCAAGTTCTAATCATCTTCGGTCAGCATAACTCTTTTGGCGACTCTACATGGTCTGAAGCTGACCGTGCACCTGCTGAATCAACTTGGTGGTCTTGAGTACAACCATAGTACTCCCCACAACCTGATGCCCAACCTTGCCCCAACAAACTGAGGTCTGACATTTTCCTCCTGTTATCCCAACTCCTGCCGAAATCTAGCATGCCTGCATGAAGCATATTCTCAAGAGTCTGAATAGTCCGCTTACTTGCCCATCAGTCTGAGGGTGGTATGCGGTGCTCAAATGAAGTTGAGTACCCAATTCTTCATAATATTTCCTCCAAAACCTGGAGGTGAAATAAATATCATGAACTGAAACAATAGATACTGGTACACCATGCTGAACCACTACCTCCCTAATGTAGATCTCGGACAGCTTCTCGATAGATATACGCTCAGTAATAGGGATGTAATGAGAACTCTTGGCCAATCTATCAATAACAACCTATACAAAATCAAGCCCATGTATCGTCCTCGGAAACTTCTTAATAATATCCATAGTTATCTCTTTCCATTTGCACATGAGAATGGGTAACGACTGTATCTTGTCATGGGGTCTCTGATGTTCGGCCTTGACTTTCCGACAAGTCAAGCACTTATCTATAAACCATGCTATCTCCCTCTTCATGTAGGACCACTCATAGCTTAATCCTAAAGCTATATACATCTTCGTGGCCCTCAGATAGATCGAAGATTTTGATTTATGAGCTTTCTACAGTGATATCTGCCTAACCCCACCAAAAATCGGGACCCAAACCCTGTCGCACTTGGTCAGCAATCCCCAACTACCCCTAACGAAAAAGAGAAATATGACCCTGATCCTCTTTTCCTTCTAATTTTCCTTCTTCAACCTCCTACTTGAGCTTTCTTGATCAAATCCAACAAGGATGAAACAATCACCATCCTCAAACACAGATCCCTGATGGGTGCACTCGATGCCTTCCGACTTAAGGCATTGGCCACAACATTAGCCTTCCCCGAGTGGTATAGAATCTCATAGTCATAGTCATTTAGCACATCCATCTATCTTACCTCATATTTTGGTTTGGCTGATCCATCAGATACCTCAAACTCTTGTGGTCAGTATATATAGTGCACCTGACTCCATAAAAGTTGTGTCTCCAAATATGGGCAAAAACCACATCCCCTTGGTCCATATCATGTGTAGGGTAATTAACCTCATGAGGCTTCAACTGCCTCAAATCATATGTAATCACGTGGCCCTTATGCACCAACATTGCTCCCAAACCCGTAATCGATGCATCGCAAGCAGATGTGAATCCCATTTTTAACACCTTTGGGTAGAATCTCATTCATTGAGCATTCTCCATATCATCTATCTATTGTCGGCTTACAGTTTGACCTTTCTTCCCGAAGAACTTTAGGGCTCCACAAGCCTTGAACACCTGAAATGAGAAGATCTATGCATTAACTGTCTCGTCGTGATCTTAGCCAGAATGCCCCCAAGCGCTTGTCCAAAAGCTCCATAATCTCCTCCTTGACATTACCAAACATCATAGGAGTAGCATCCAAGATACCGCAAGTGATCTTAGACGTAATTAACTCGCATACCCTCTCATTAATCGGTTCGACACCATAGCCAAAACCAGAACCCGATCTAGAACCTCTTCCTCAAGTGCTCATCATATTGAAATACAATATACAAACGGTCATAATATACTTGAGGGAACTCTCACACCACAAACTCCTTAGAATCTATGAGACCATCCTTGAGTCGAGTAAAGATCCTATGCTTTCAATTGTATCGGCCCAATACTACCTTCCACACATATCCGTACTTTCCTCAAGAACCAACTCAAATTCTCTAAGTCACTCTACAAAGGCAAATCACACAAACCATTTGCTAAACATGATACATAACATTATTGTGGTACTTCCCAAGCTCTCCTAGGAATCCTCGCCTCACTAGCCTCTACAATACAATGAACTTCTGCAAACACCGTTGGTTGCCTTATGCATGCAAATTGTACACAATACAGGATCAGATACAAGGTCGAATAATGATTATATCCTAAGCCTACAACCAAACAAGGAACATGAAATAATGATAAATCAATCATTCTAAGGCTATATGATCATAACCGTATATAAAATTTTGAACATACACCTAGCAATTAACTCTACTAATATAGATTCTAAATAATAGATGACATCTAATTCCTCCTAGGCTACAAAGCATCACACAAATCAGTAAACTCTATCATTGTGATTCTTGAAGGTATCCTTAGCCCTACCCTAGCATGCAATTCACATACAACATACTAATCATAATTCTCCTGTATGGATATTTTGGGAATCACTTACTTGATCTTGGCTGATTGCACACATCCCACCCTTTTCTTTGTATTTTTTTTTCAGAAAAATTGTTTCCCTTTCAAAAGATTATCAATTCCTAAAGTTGACTTCACATACACACACACACACACATATATATATATATATATATATATATATATATATATATTTATATATCACCACATTCACTTAAATGTAAAGTAATCGACTAACTTATGTACAACAAGTCAACTGAATTCGTATCATTCTACTTTCTGTTTAAGTTTAGGAATCTACTAAAAGACACATAATTCACTTAAACCATGACTATAATACAAAGTTGCAATGCCCATATTTTCTTACTAAGTACAATCCAAACATTAGACTTATAAAGCATTTTGGTGTATACTAGCACACTGGAATACAAGGAGTTATCACCATGAATTGTTCTTACATCGAAGTACATGATTCGGGCTGGGCGATATATTAACCTAACCGATCAACAACTCGAACCCTCACGTTCTAGCAACCATTCTCCAATTAAAATCCCAAGAATTAATCTCTCTAGCTCTTTTCTGAATTCATTTTCTCACAATACTTCAAATGAACCATACATCACTGTATTGATACCTAAGAATTTTGAAGAAGCCCGTCGCATCCGTTTACGGGTATGCTGCGTCCATGCAATCGTCTCGACTTGAGACGTGTCTTGACTGTCTTCCACATATACTCTCCTTCTACCACCTATCTCACCCTCATAATATGTATCAAACACCCACATACCTCGATGCGTTGCGAAAAATAATACACACATCGCAAAATTTGGCAATATTTGACCATTGGCTAGTGGGTTTGTTGACAGTAGGTTTGTTGTGCTCATCGTGAGCAAATTCATGAATGCCCCTTACAACATGGCATATGAAATATGTTTTCTTGATTCTCCACTGATTGAGAAAAATCCAAGATGTCGAATATTTTTTATTAAAATGACCGGTGAAAGGGGAGTAAATATCTATAAAAGTGTTGTATGGGAGGACTTTGTGTAGGTGGATGGTTAATTTCAAGGTATTGTACGTTTGTGTGAGGACATCCGGTGACTTGGCAAAGTAAGAAGCTGTCAGTGGTGGTTAGAATTAGTTCTAAGGCTGAATTCCATGCAATGCGCCAAGGTATGTGTGAAGAAATTTGGTTCAAATGGATGTTGAAGAAACTAAAAATTGAGAATCTTAAGAAGATGATTCTCTTATATGAAAATAAAGATTCTATTGAAATGCCACTAACACAATTCATCATGGTCACATGAAACATGTGGAGATTGATCGTTACTTCATTAAAGAAAAAATAGAATCTGGAATTCTGTAGTTCTCCTATATTCCATTAGACTCTTAGAAATTATATTCTCACAAAGGCCCTTCCAAAGAATAAATTTGAAAATATGTAGAAGAAGTTAGATATGATTGATATCCATATCCAACTTGAGGGGGGAGTGAACATTTATGTTATTTTCTCATTTGTTTCTTTATTTAATATGTAGGGGTAATGTCATAATTATGAGGTTTTTAGGGTTATCCAACTTTAGTTTTGTATTCATTTTTACAATAATGGCTAAAAAATGCATGAAGGATTCTCTCCATCTCTTATGCGTTTTACATTAGGGTTACATGAATTCAGTAGTATCGTATTCCAGTCTGTTAAAAAGATTAATTTTAAGATTACAAATGTATTATTATTGTTATTATTAGTTCGATGAGACTTATTTTGCATATCGTAACTCTTGAGTATTTGGATTTCATGTAGAGACATTTTGTACAAAATTCTGATATCGAAGCACAAGTGACAGAAGCTGGTGACACCAACTTTCATAGCCGCGTGGAGGATTTTCAGAATTTCAGAAGGATGAAGTGTCGTTAACGCATTACTCATAATGGTTGTTCTATCTGAACTTTTAGAAGGATCTTCATCTTCTTCATCAACTCATGGCCATAATCCATCAACTTCTGGTCATAGTTCATCAACTCATGCTCATAGATATGATGTATTTTTAAGTTTTAGAGGTCTCGATACTCGTCATAGTTTCACTAATCACCTTTATAAAGCCCTCATTGACGCCAATATCATTACCTTCTTGGATGATGAAGAGATTGAAACAGGGGAAGCTCTAAAACCGGAATTGGAGAGTGCAATTAAGGCATCTCGGGCTTCTATTATCATATTGTCTAAGAATTACGCTACTTCAACGTGGTGCTTGGATGAATTGGTGTTAATCCTTGAGCAGCGTATGATATCGGACCACATTGTCATCCCAATCTTTTATCATGTGGAGCCCAACCATGTTAGGGAGCAACAAAGTAGCTTTGGGGATGCATTGTTTAAGCATAATCAGACAATGGATGAAGAGATGGATGAAAATAAAAGAAGACAATGGGCTCAAAAAATAGATCGATGGAATAAAGCACTTACGGAAGTTGCTAATTTAAAAGGAAATGACGTAAATGGCAGGTACCCACATATTTACCCGTATTTTCATACTCCTTCAGTTTTGTTTGAAAACACATTGAAATTTTCAATATCATCTTTAGCCTATGCATTTCGGTTAGTTTCATCAAAATCATTGGATAAGCATATATTTGGTACAATAGGATAAATGAGATGCACAAAGTTGAATCTATGCTATCTGATCTCATTAATCAATTTATGTAGATAGATTAACTATTTTGACAAATTATACACGTTTGTCATACATTTATTTATTTATTTATTTAAAATAGTTCCCAATGTCTCAAGTGAGACATGAACCCTCAACCCCTTGGAGAAGGAGAAGGTACAACTTTTCCAACTTCGGATACCGGTAGGCTATAAGCTCTTCGGTTTATGCAATGACAATAGTTTTTTTATAAGTTACTCTATTTTTAATGAACCCTTGTCAATTAATTTTTATATGATTTTTATTAAGGTTAATTATTTATTTATGGAGCAATGATTCATCTTTTTTCAAATTCATGCGACAATGTTAGTTTTTTTTGCAAAATATGCATGATGTTTGAAATTAGTAATAAATTGTGCAAGTAATTAAACTAAAATTGTTATGTATATGTTGTGGCATATATTTTCAAAATTAGAGTCACATCAGCGATTATGTTGACAAGTTAATTGTACAAAAAACATCTCTGCAAGTCATGTGCACAATTACATACTATTTCAGAAATAACCACCTTTAACTTCCAATAACCAACTTAGAACTACCCATTTAACATTTAACCGGCATAACCAATAATCATTATATGTCTCGGTTACCCTCCAACAAGTTAAGTTTGATGGTCTTCTAGAAACTAGTGAAGTTACAAGACCCATTAGTGAAAACTTTTATTACTTTGGTAGTTTTGGTCATCTTATAGATAAATATTTATTTACACATTAGATATGTATATGGTTAGAATGAAAAGAAAATATGGTTTGATTCCGAGAAGTTAATTAAAAGTTTAAAATTAATAGTTGTGAAGGAATCAGATTTCTGGAATATTATCTTGTCATCTATAATGAGGTTAAATTGTCATTTATACACAAACTAGTAGTACCTAAAACAGGAAATAGGATTGAAGTAGCCTAAAAGCAAAAAAGAAATATTCTACATATGTCTAATACCAACAATTTTGATATAATTTTGATTTGGATCTTTATATAAATAAAATTTCCAAATCTGGCATGTTAGTTTTGAGGATTGTGTTTTGTAATTTTTATTAAATCAAATTTCAGGTTGGAGACACAGTTTATTGAAGAAATTGTGAAAGACATCTACCGTAGATTGTATGTAACCTTACAGAGTGTTCGACCATTACTTATTGGGATGGACGATTCCATTAACTTCATCACATCATGGTTGAAAGATGGATCTTCACATACGGTAGACATACTCACTATTTCAGGTATAGGCGGTATTGGGAAGACATGTTTAGCCAAACATGTCTATGGCTTATATTGGTGTGAATTCCACAGAAGCAGCTATATTGAAAATATCACTAGGAAATGTGATGGAAAGTTTAATGGTTTGCTTGATTTACAAGAACAACTCTACTATGACATTTCAAAAACAAGGTCAATCAGAGTTGATGATGTTTCAATATATACCTCAAAGATAGAGAATTCACTAGCCAGTAAAAAGGTGTTTATAGTTCTTGATGATATCAATAATCTTGTTCACTTGGATGCATTACTTGGAAGCAAAGGTTTTCATCCTGGAAGCAAAGTTATAATAACAACAAAGGATAGATGGTTGACAGAGAGTTGTGCACTACTTAAAACAAACATCAAACCCAAGCATCTAAAATACTTCCTTGAAGGCTTACATGAGACTAAATCACGACAACTTTTGTGTTACCATGCATTCATGTGCAACTATCCCAAGGCAGGTTATGAAGAGGTGTTAGATAAGCTTGTGAAGTATTGTCAAGGACATCCGTTGGCTCTCGAAATTTTAGGCAAGTCTCTGCATAATCGGGATGTAGTGTACTGGGAAGGTTTCATGGAAGGACTAAAGAAAGAAATTAATTCCCCTATAAATAATGTCTTGAGAATGAGTTTTGAGTCTTTACCATCTAACAACGATAAGGACTTGTTTAAGCATATTGCTTGTTTTTTTGTTGGAATAGATAGAGAAGTTAGCGAAACAATATTAGAGGCTTGTTATATAAACACAAGATCCGGAATCACGAATCTCCTTGACAGATGTCTTCTTAGTATTGGATGGAATAATGAATTGATGATGCATCAGTTGGTTCAAGAGATGGGAAGATTTGAAGTAAGTCAAGAATCACTTAACAAGCCATGGAAAAGAAGTCGATTGTGGTGTCATAAAGAGTCATTTAGAGTATTGAAACATAAAAAGGTAAGAGGCCATGTATGGTTTTAGTAGTTTGGATGTCCAAAATATTTTATATTGCCTAATTTGTTTATTTGCTTTATATTTGTTTCTTTTTAGGGTAAGGGAAATCTTATAGGCCTTTCCCTTGACATGCGCATGCTTGAGAAAGAGAAGTTGGGAGGATCATTTGAGCTGAAAACAGATGCATTGAGTAACATGGATAGTCTTATGCTACTACAACTTAATTATGTTCACATGCATGGGTCTTATGAAAACTTTCCGGAAGAAATAAGATGGTTGTGTATGCATGGGTTTCCTTTAAAGTCTATACCTTTAGACTTACCTATAGATAATCTTGTTGCTCTTGACATGTCATATAGCAATATTGAATCATTTGTCGGTTGGTATAGTAATCCACAAAGACTTGAGAAGAGGCAAAAGGTAAACTTATCGCATTTATTATACATCCATGTTAGTTGATGAACATCAATACTATACTAACTTATTTCCATTTCTATAGGTGGATGGATCGTGCTTAAAAGAGAAAAGGTTGTTTGGTTCACTAAAGATTCTAAATTTAAGTTTCTGTGAACAACTTCATAGTATTGGTGGCTTTGACCAACTCCCTATGCTTGAAAGGTTAATACTTAGAAATTGCATCGGGTTGTGTTATGTTTGTGAATCAATTGGGCAAGGTGTTGAACTTGTCCTCATCGATCTGAGCTATTGCACGAAGCTTGAGAAACTTCCAAGAAGTATATGCATCTTAAAGAAGGTTAAAACAGTGTTGTTAGATGGTTGTAATCTTGGTGAATCTCAAATCAAGAATATGGAATTGGATTCATTGGAAATGTGCACGGTTAACACCATTGGCATAAACAGAAGAACCTCTTTCTCTGCATTTGTGGGTGGTATACCAAGTGATTTGAAGTCATTTTCAATGTCTTTACCAAGATCTTTAGTAAGGTTGTCACTTGCAAATAATAATTTGTCCCATGAAACCTTTCCCATGGACTTTAGTTGCCTATCCATGTTAAAGCATTTATATTTAGATGAAAACCCTATCAGTTCCATGCCCAATTGTGTGAGAACCCTTCCAGGACTTGAGATACTTACCATGGGTAAGTGTAAAAAGTTGAAATCAATCGAGTATCCTCCGCGTACGCTAACAGAGTTATTTATTAATCCTTTTGGTATGGATTATATAGAAAAAGTTGTATTTGATCCAGATATGTCCCCACTCCAGTTATCAATAAACTGGTCAGATTACGCATCTTGGATAGATTGCATACCTTGGTTATATGAAATTCAAGGCATGGTCAAAATCCAACCAATGGTGACTCTCGAGGAAAAGGTATTACATAGCTTGGGCTGGACAAATTTTGACTTCCATAACTACAGGCGTGCGGGAAGTAATTCTTCATTAGAACATGGAATTCAGGTTTTGTTCGGTTACTATATCCGTATTTATATGTGAATCTGTATAATATAAATCTGATGGTTATTAATTAAGGTGGTTGTATTTGGCAGTTGTTTTATGAATTTGGAATATTCAGCACAAAGTACGAGGAAGAGGAGATGCCGACTTGGTTTACAAATAGAAGCGTTGGGCCCATCAATATCATTTACCATCCCATCATCATCTCCAAACAATCTTAGAGGAATCAATTTATGCTCTATGCAGAGATTGCGAGGTTCGGATGAGAGGTCTCCATATGTATTTGGTCAATTCCCTAAAGAGCCAATGATAACAATTAGTAATATAACAAAAAACCGCACGTGGATATACGAACGTCACAGGGACTCAACTTCTACTCGGTGTTACATTTTGTTAAGTCATTGGATGTTTGGGATGAACGAGATGGAGGTTGGAGACCATGTTACTATTACTGTTACAGCACCAACTGATGAACTTGTAAAGGAGTGTGGGGTGAGTCTTGTGTATGATGATGGACAAGAAGAAGGAGAAGAAGATGCGTTGGATTATTACAAGTCATGGAATCACATAATTGGTGGAGATCTCTCTCCTTTTCAAACAGAAACAGGACAATATATCCTACACAACTGGAGATTTTTACGGCCTGGCATTATATTGTATCCCTATCACCGTAAATTCGTTACGGACGGCCCCGAATATCAGGGTAGATTCGTCATTTTTATTAAATATATTATCGTAATGTCTTATGTATAATAATCTCATGATGGATAATGACACATTTGTTTTTAGTCGAAAAATAAATGTTTCATCTAACCCAAATCTTCCCATTTATCATTGATTTTATTGAGCTCTTCTCTAGAGTTTATATCCTAAACTATGAAAAATAAATTTTCTACTTCTAGCTTTTAAATGAATCAACCCAAGTAATTACCCATTTGAATGGGTCTATGTTAACTCATTAAGTCTTGATATGTTGGATCACATAAATATATTGGGATTCAATAAATACTACTTGTCAAAGCGGATGTTTGTGAATAAATATTAACATATTACTTCTTACATGTTTTCAGTACAAGAGAAAGTGTGGTTTAGAGCTTTATCCCCAAGGAAGCCGGACATACTTGTTCGTGAATGTGAGGTATACATTTTGACACCCAAACCTTTCTGTCATTACATGAATAAAGGTCTTTTAATTATTGTCGATTATTTTTAGTCGATTTCGAATTAATTTTGTTGGCCGTACCAAACAAAATGAAACGTCCTTATAAGGACATCTGGTTGTATCTTTCAAATTTAAAAATTCTCTTCTATCAACAAAATTAATTTTCACAATATTTATGATTTAAATGTTTGACACTATCGAGTCGATTTATATCTTCTTCTTCTTGAGAATTTTAATCATACAATTCAGTTTTCACTTCCCTCAAAACCTCATACAATGCCTTTATTGTAAGCTTTTTAAATTCCTAATGTCTCGTACTTCTTTACAGCAGTCTAACTCTTTGCATTAAGGTTCTCCTCCTCATTCCAAACTTCCAACACTTCATTTACCTATATTTCATTTTCCTCCACTGTTTGAGTTTAAATCATTTTCTCTACAAGTTTAGAGGCTGCAAATGCTTTTTGAGTTCATTAATAAAAATATTAGAATTGGAAAAATCAAATACTTGATCTTTTGATGAGTTTGTTGATATGGGATTAGCAACGCTAAGGAAGAAGTAGGCTTGTTTGTCCCATGTGCACTTTCTCATTCGTCTAAGCTTCTTGATATTTCTAGTTAATTCACCACAAATGCACTCGGGTTTGCTTCACAGTTTGTATTTCCTCTAGACATAAATTTAATATTTATCTTTTTTCACTTGAAGCATTTTCAACGTCCTAACAAGAATACTATATATACAAGTCAAGGGTTTCAGTTACTGACTCTGTAGCCGATATTTTAAAAATTGTTGTCATCGTTTAGGCCTTGTAGTCTTCTATTTTTATGGACTTGTTCTGATCCTTTGGCTTTATTCTTTAACATGTCCCACATTTATTTAGCTGATTCACATATATGTAGTTGTAAGAATGTCGTAATATGCCAGCATGATGTGTAAAGGCGTGTTAATAACAAACTACCACACTCTGGAAAACAGTAAGAAATTGCTTAAGTATATTACTTGTTTTTAAGTAGTCTTATTAATAGAGGCCTTCTGAGGATAGGACAAAGCAACAGATTAAGAACGCATAAATTGTTTCAATAGTTTGGAAGAGATGTTGGTGATAGTTGACTATGGCGTCATGATGAGTCATTAAGTCTGTTAAATCAAGAAAATGTAACGTAATATAAATACTCCGAAGTTTTTATCAGTTTTCGTAGCATTTGGTATTATATTGTCTGTATACTTTGTGACATTTTATATTTTTCTTGCTTTTCTTTTAAGATTAAGGGGGAGTCTTCAAGGTCTCCTTCATGACATGAAAATACTTCAGAAGGAGAGGCTGCAGTACATGGCTATGTGAATTCAAAATAGATGCATTTAGTAAGATGGGTAACCAAATGCTACTGTAACTTAATTGCATGAAACTCAATGAGTTATATCCTAATTTTTTCCAGAAGAATTAAGACGCAGGTTTGGTTTTTGTCACCTCTAGTAACGATTTATCTTTTTGGTTGTTTTACTAGTATCTTTGGTTGCCAAAAATAGGGGAAGACAATATGAATGGTTTTGAAGTTAATTAATATGCATGTAAGGAAAATGATGCAAGTCATAATTAATGTTGTTTTTGTTAACCTAAATGAAGTATTTGCAGAGAACATGAACACACAAGTACTTTACACAAAAGTTGTGTTACTTGATTCTTGAAGAATTAACTTACAGAACATTGAAAACTACATAGCTAGCCATGAGGCTTACATAGAAACGGAAACTGCAAAAAAATAACTAACCCACTAACATCTACTTGAGAACATAAAGGAAACCTACCCATTACTTGAAAGACAAAGTCAAATGACTAAAACTTGGAAAGAAACAAAAGGGCATAGAGGTAAAAAAAAAAGGATAGAAATGTGCAACGAGACCAATGCACGTGCCCAGGTGTGGTGCTTTAACATTCCCTCTCAACACCTGCTTCAGTCATTCCAATTTTCTCACAAAATTCAATCATCTTCTTGCTTGGCAATCCTTTTATGAGAAAATCTGCAACATGGTTTGAGGTTTTAATGTACTGCAAGTCAATATCCTCCTTTAGAACCTTCTCTCTAATGAAGTGATAGTGAACTTCTACATGTTTTGTCCTGGCATGGAATGTAGGATTCTTGGCCAGCTGAATTGACGAAAGGTTTTCACAAAACATTAGAATGATGTATTCAACTTTTTTGATTTAAATCTTTCAAAAGTTGTACAAGCCACACACTTTCTTCGGCAGATATTGCTGCAGCTCTACACTCTGGTTCAGTTGTCGATAGAGACAGAATGGGCTGTCTCTTACTACACCACGACACTGCACTGGACCCCAACATTAAAACAAACCTAGTTGTGGAACGACGTGTGTATAAACCTAGTTGCAATCTGGTTCCCTCTTAAACATAATTCCATAGTTAATTGTGATTTTAACATACCTTAGGACCCTTCAAACTCCATCTAGGCGGAACTTTCTTAGAGTTTGCATAAATATGCTTAACACCCCCACAATGAAAGCCATATATGGTCTTGTTAGAGTAAGATAGAAGAGACTCCCAACAGTCTTTCTGTACATGGTTGCATCTTCTAACTCTCTACCCTTGTTTGCATAAATCTTTGCATTTGTATCTACTGGGGTCACTACAGGCTTGCATTCATGCATGCCAAAACGAGTCAACATATCAACAATGTATTTGTGTTGATGTAACACAAGTCCTTCACTTTCATATTTCACTTCCAAACCCAAGAAATGTCTAAACCTAGTACATAGATTCTCTTTCAATTGAGCAGTCACATCTTCAAGATCACCTGTGATAATAAGGTCATCTACATGGACAAGAACGACTGGCACTTTATCACCCACAACTTTCACGAATAAACTTGCATCTGTTGTTGTTATGGAATAGCCATTATGCTCAAGAAATTCTGCAATCTTCCCAAACCACGCCCTAGGCGATTGCTTGAGTCCATAAAGGGATTTCTTCAATTTACATACATACTTGGGATGTCTCTTGCTATCAAACCCCATAGGTTGCTGCATATGACTTACATGATCCAGGTCATCATACAAAAATGCATTGCTCACATCCATCTGCCAGAGATTCCAACCTTTGCTTGCTGCTAGGGCAAGAAGAACACGCACAGTGGTTAATTTAGCTATCGGGCTAAATGTATCTTCATAGTCAAGCCCAAAATTTTGTGACAAACCCCGTGCTACTAAATAAGCTTTAAATCTCTCAACTGAACCATCTGCACATTGCTTCACTTTGTACACCCACTTGCACGAGAGGGGCTTTACATCATCAGGTTTTTGAACCAACTCCCAGGTTTGGTTTCAGACTAAGGCTTCCATCTCTTCTTCCATTGTGACCAACCATTCACACTTTGTACACGCTTGATCAAATGTTTCTGGTTCACGAATTCCAATTTCAACAATAGCAGCATTAGCATATCTAGGATTTGGTCTTTTAAGTCTAGATGATCGTCTAAGACTTGCTGGATAACTATTTTCATCTTCAGTGTGCACATTATTAAACACTCCGGACTGCAATGGTTGTTGAGCTTCTGTATGAGCAACATCTTCTTTAGCAACAACCTCTTCATCAACAATACTTACATTAATCTTGGAAGACTCCAAACCTTATTTAAGTACATCTGAATCAGGCAGAGTTTCACGATTTGAAGACCACCATGATGATGTTTCATCAAACACCACGTTTCTAGAGACATAACATTTTCCACTATTAGGATCACAATATCGCCATCCTTTTCTTTCTTGGTCATACCCAACAAATATGCATCGAACTGCCTTCTTCTCCATTTTATACCGTAAGTGACTAGGTATAAATACATAGTATACACAACCAAACACACATAAATGGATTACATTGGGTTTGATGTTCAAGAGTTTCTCGAGAGGTGATACATACTGAAGACCTTGCTGAGGAATTTTGTTGATGACATACACTGCTGTCTTCATAGCTTCAGCTAAAAACAACCTGGAACTTTTTTTCATGGATCATACTCCCACTAATCTCATCAATATGACGGTTCTTTCATTCTGAAACTCCATTTTGCTGTGGAGTGCTTCGACATGACAACTGTCGCTTGATTTTGTGCTTAGTTAGATAGTCAGTAAACTCTTTAGCAAGATACTCACCGCCATTGTCTGACCTCAAACATCATATACTGTGCTTCACATCTCTTTCTGCTTCATCTTTAAATTCTTTGAATTTGCTGAATGTTTCAGCTTTCTCCTTCATGAAGTATACCCAAACGAATCTTGAATAGTTGTCTATAAAAGTGACCATATATCTCATACCTCCAAGTGAGAGTTGTTTGACAGGTTCAAACACATCTGAATGCACTAGTTCCAGCAGTTGTTTGACTTTGTACATGGACTTCTCAAAAGGTAACTGATGAGCTTTGCCATATTGGCAACATGCACAAACAAGATTCTTGTTTACTTCGAGTTGAGGAAGATTGGTGACAAGCTTCTTCTTCATCATCATATCGAGTTTGTCGTAAGCTACGTGACTTAAACGCATATGCCAAAGATCCACATTTTGATTCTTCTTTGTATTATCTACATATGTTGTTTCAGCGAACATTACATAGATAGACTTTGACCGTCTTCCTTTAACAATGGGGTGAGATGGGGTTTTAAACTCCTTGTATACTTTTACATCATTAGGACCGAAAAGCACATAGTGATCTGCTGAGGTTAATTGGGACACATAGAGAAGGTTCATTTTCATCTCAGGGACATGATACACACTTTGTAACATCATCTCTTTCGTGGTCTCTTCCGGGTGAAACTTGACATAACCGACGTGGGCAATTGGCAACCTAGAGTCATCAGCAATCAAGACTACACGACTACCTTCATATTCAACTGGATCTTGGATAATTTATTTTTCACCTGTCATGTGTTTTGAACAGCCTGAATCTACAATCCACTAGTCTAGCTTTAACGCCTGTGTTTCCAGGCTTGCTATTTTTAGCAATGAAATAGTCTAGGTTAACCTTTGTAACCCGTTTTGAAATAATAAGAGTGTATTATTTA